TTTAGGCTGCTACGCGGGTAATATGGAGCGCGATCTTGATATTGGCGATAGCATTGTTGATAAACAAATGATCTACCGGTGCTACATGTAAGCTTATATCTCCAGTTACCATAGACCGAATCGCTTGATCTGTTAGCCGTGAGGTAAAACAACTGTTTTCACTTCTACCCACCAACAACCATTGTCTTCCCCGAAGATCATCGGGACTTTTTGGCTGTTCTTCGAAATGCAGTGTAAAGAGAGAGTCTGATGAACGCACACAAGATGAAGAAACGCAAAAGCAAATTCCGCATGTTTTTGATTGGAGCCTATTCTTACTATAGTACTTTGTTCAGCTGCTGTTTCATCATCGTGTTTCTTTCCAATTTTTTGTAGTTAGCAGTTTATCAGTTCAGCAATTTACCAGTTCCTATTTTGGATGTCTTTCGTAATTTCATGTAAGCTTTGGAATGGATTCCATCCTACTTGCGGGCTTTCCTGTATTCTTTTAGCCCTGCTTGAGTACCATTCAGTAATCCGTTAATATGCTGCTTTCTTCTGTTGTTATATAATGCTCTTATTTATAAAAACAGTAAGTTTTAATATTTGCAGCAAGGATGGAGCGGTAATGTATGAAGAATATCCTTGTGGCTTTAAAGGCACGCCGCCGTGCACCGCACCACCAAAACAGCAAGGAACATCAAACTTACCTTTCATGTCCGGTTTTAGACCCGGATTTAAAGCATTCAGTATTGCGCAGGTAAAACATTCGTTATCGCTTTGCTAGTTTTCCAGCTCTCTGCAGATATTGTTAATTTAACTTTAAAAACCAGAGCTCATTATGATTTTCTCTTTCAGTTTGAGTCCTGAGGTAGTTTTAATAGATGGGATGTGTTGATTTGGTAGCGGAGCCTTCACTTTGCGACATAAAAACAAGACAGAATTGTGATTACTATTTAGTGCAAAAAACAAATCCATACGTTATAGATCCGCAACAAATAAGTTTCATGCACGGTCTTAGTGGTTTCCGGTTCGACCATTAGATTTCAAGTAAAAATGCAGTAATGTACTGCTTTGTAATCCGCACTAATTTCTTTTTAAAGCATGTGAATCGTGGCGGCAACAAGATTGTTGCTGGTTCCAGTACAGTGAGACTGGAAGCAGCACGTATGGATGGAATGCGTTCTGCACTACGTTCGCCTATGACTCACTCAAGCACTCGTCTTTTATCCGATACATGAACCGTTTAATGTAATATTCATCGCCGTTTTTTACAATTTCCAACTTTACACTGAATTTGACATCTGGCTACAAGTTTGAATTGTAATTAATACTTTAATAACTCTAAAACAAACGAAGGCATATTAAGAACGCTGTCTAAAATATTATTTGTTAATACTCAAAGAGAAGCATCATCAAGTTTTTTATGTTGGGTCAACCTGTTTTGAGCACAGCAACTATGCAGGTCAACTTTGAGCTGGATGAAAGCAAAGAAAATTTTTCGTAAATGAAGTGGATGAAAAGCAGTTCTGTAATATCAAAGCTGTTCTGGAAGCTTGGTTTGCTTGGTTTTCTCAATTTTTCGCTCTGACTTTTATCATTTACCACCAAAAAATATTAAAAATGCCAGAATTATCGAGATTTTTTTGAGAATCGGCGGAATGAACATTTATTACTTTATTGGTACTGAGATTCAGCCGTATGCCAGACCCTAAAAAACATACGCCTATTGTCTGTACCGCACACAAGCGCTACTCTTTTGAAGCTCACGAGTACCACTCACAATCAACAACGTAAATAATAAGTTTCGATAATCAAATTCTATTTTGTGGCACGACCGCACTAATATTTTTTATGCCGCTCATCTAACGAAAAGTCTGATTGCTTATATTGTCACAAATCCATCAAATTAAAACTTTTCTATGATAAACCAGTGTAAAAAAATTTTTGAGATTCTATTAAGAAACAAAGTTTAATACTAATGTTATAAAAAAAGAAAATGTTGGCCTCTAGCTATGTAATAAATCTGTTGAAAAAGCCGTATAGATTACAAAAAAAATTAATTGTTTGACAAGCAAAAGTGAATATAATAATTATATTTTTTAATACAATTAAACAAATCCACAACTTTA